CTATTCCTGACTTGAAATTATACTACAAGGCTACTGTGATAAAATCAGCATGGTATTGGCATGAAAATAGACCTGAGGATCAATGGAATAGATTAGAAGACAATGAATCCCCTATGAACACACTCAACCATCTTATCTTTGACAAAGGAGCTAAACATACTCAGTGGAAGAAAGACAGCCTCTTTAACGAAAATCTGGCTCTCTACATGCCAAAAACTCAAACTTGACCCGGGTCTATCACCATGCACTAAACTAAAGTCAAAATGGATTAAAGATCTAAACATTAAAGCAGTGACACTAACTATCCTGGAAGAGAAAGTAGGGGAACTCTTGAAGACATAGGGGTAGGCAAAGAGTTCATGGACAGAAATCAAATCGCACGTGTAACAGTGGAAAGACTTAACAACTGGGATCTGCTCTTACTGAGACTTTTTTTCACGTCAAAAGAAATTACCAATAAAGTGAAAAGGCAACCTACAGGTTTGGAAAAAATCTTGACAAATGAGTACTCAGACAAGGGTATGCTCTCTAGAATCTCTAAAGAACTAAAAAACACCAGGGCCCCAAAATTTAAAGACCCAATCCAGAAATGGGCATCCGAGATGAACAAATCCTTCTCAGAGGAAGAAATTAAAGAAGCGAATAAATATATGAAAAAATGCTCCACATTGCTAGCCATTGGTCAAATGCAAATTGAAGCCACAATGAGATATCATCTCACCCCAGAAACAATGGCTATCATAAAGAAATCACCCAACAACAAATGTTGGAGAGGCTGTGGAAAAAATGAACCCTTCTCCACTGCTGGTGGGAGTGTAGACTTGTGCAACCGTTATGGAAATCAGTATGGAGACTCCTCAGAAAGGTTGGTCTGGAAATCCCCTTTAAACCAGCTATTCCTCTCCTGGGAATTTTCCCACAGGATCTGAAAACATCATATCATAGGGATATATGTGTGCCTATATTTATAGCAGCATAATTTGTGATAGCGAAATCTTGGAAACAACCAAGATGCCCATCACCTGAGGAATGGTAAAAAAGATGTGGTATTTTTGCAAAATGGAGTATTATTAGCTATTAAGAATTATAAACTCAAAACCTTTATATTGAAGTGGATGGCACTTGAACATATACTCATAAGTGAAATAAACCAGACACACATGTGTAAATATCGTATAGTCTCCCTACTATAAGAATTCCGAAGAGGAAATACAAATAGAAAGATATAATACAAGGAAAGGGAAAGCAGGCTCTCAAGGACTAACTAATCAAGAGAGGGAAAGGTGATGAGGTCGGAAACATGACAATGTTAAGCCATGCAGTTATATGTAAAAGATGAGCAAGGCAATGATCCAGATAATATTCAGAAGATTCTTTAATCTAGGAGTTAATTGGAAAGATTCTCACCCTGACTAACTATATATACTGATATCTGTGAACTAAGCTACTGCACTGCAGATGGTAATTTGTAATAGTGGTTTCATGTTTGGAGTGCCTCTCAATGCTGCATTCTGAATATGGGCGGCTTGTCATGACATGCCAGTTACTGTTATGATGTCTCTTGGGTAGGTGGATGTTCAAGAAGGGGGTCGTGAATGAAAGCAAGAGAGAGGAAAAGGAATATTGTGGGACTGTCCTGCTTCAAGGTTGTATATGTTGAGATTTTTGGATTTATGTGCGAACCTGAGAAGCATAGAATTCTTTATCCTATTTTTAAAATATAATCTAATGTTTACATGTTTTTTTTTCATATTATGTAAGGACTTAAAGTTCAACATATCAATACTTGATGAAAGATACCTGTTCCTTTTTATGCCTAAGATGTTTGAAATGCAGTGAGATAGTGAGGTTAAGATTGATAGCCTAAATCATTTGATAAGAACAATAAGATTGTCTTCTGGATGGTTAACAAGCTAAGTTTGCAGACCAAAATTAGAGACAAAGGAGGGCTACAAAGAAAGCCAACGTTTTGGCCCTAGTGTTCTAAGGTCAATTAAGACTCAGGTCATATGAGAACTTGTACTGTAATGTCATGTAACTCAGTAGTGTCCCAAATTTTCTGATCAAGAAGATTATGGGGCCAAAGAGGAAAGTGATGGATGATGTAGAGTGTGCCTAAGGAGAGTCACATGGGGAGAAGACACTCTCTCAGGCTTTCACTTTCAATGAGCACATTGACCAAGCAATGGCCGTGACTCATCCACATGGCTGCACTGACTAATGTTCTACAAAGTGAGGTACAGAATCTCAGGATAAATCCTGAGGGTATTTCACTGACCTTCTTAGACCAAAAAGCTACAACTCTTGTTGCATAGGTTCTGCTTTACCTTGGTCTTAACCATCCAGTAGAAAAGTATGAAGAAGAAATATAGGAAGTAATGCCATGCTGTTAAATTGAGCTGTGGGGGACTCACTTCAATAATTTCTGACATTGCCAATTAAACAGAAGACCCAATGCTATTATGGGCTACTGGACTCTTTTAGAATATTTTGCTGAGTTTACACAACTATAATATTCAATAACGGAACTTAGAAAAAATGGGGTATACCTATGAAAGTCCATTTTGTTTCTGTGTATTCAAAGTGGTTCGGATAGATATACAGTTGAATTCTCTTAATGAATAGAATGATTTGTTCTAATGATGTTTGTAAATAGGATCACAAGTCTGCATCTTTTACAGCAATTAACCACTAAGAAGAATATATGCAGTGTATTATTTGTTGGAACTGTACTTCCGATTTGATTTGAAACTGTCTCATTGCTATCGGTTTATCAACAAAACTTTGAAAATAATAAAAAATAAAAAATAAAAAAATGAAGGTATGCAGTGTGTTAATTAATGAAACTGTCCTACCGATTTGATTTGAAACTGTCTCATTGCTATTTGTTTATCAATAAAATTATGGAAATATATATATATATATATTATATATATATATAATTTCAGGTTGCTTGTACCCCACCACACCATTGTGTGAGATAGAAGACAATGAAAGTAGCCATCCTCAGATTCAATGAATGTCAACAATTTTATCATCTGTGCCTTCACTCTTTTGCTTGTATTTTTTACTGTGTAGGAGGTAATTTGTTAACTTCTTCTGTGCACTATTCTTCTATTATTTCCTGAGTTATATCACTCACAGTAATGAAATATTTGTTTTTACTTATATTTCAAAGTGTTTCCATAATTATTTTCTCTAGTCTTTTTAGTATTTTAGAACTCACACTTAAATTTTCATTTTTAAATATTTTGGGTGTGACATGGGGATACTGTTTCCATCTTATATGTGGTTAAGACCACTTTAATATTTACTATTTGATACAGAGGTTGTCCCTTTCCCAATGTACATTTTTGGCCTCTGATGACAATATGTGGTTTTTTTCCTGAGCCTTCTAATAATGAATCTGTTTTTCTTTTTATATCTCTTTTATGTTGATTTTGTTACAATGTTCTATAGTACATTTTGAAATTAGTATATGATTCCTTCAACATGGCTCTTTTAATCTTAGAATTGCTTTAGACTTTTATTCTAGGTATGTGAAGAGTGTCATTGGTATTTCAGTGAAGATTACTGTGAATCTGTAGGTCACATTCAAAAACAAACAACATCAATTTTGATAACCCATGAACATGAATCCTCTTCTCGATGTGTTTTTCAATTTTATCTCCACCCTGGTTGTAAATTTTATTTTAGAGGTTTTTCACTTTTGTTGTTGGTTTGATTCCTAGATGTTTCATTTCTTAAAGCTAATGTGAATCCAAATGTTGTGTTGATTTTTATCTCAGCTATTTCATTATTATAGCTGAATTCTATAAGGGCCAGAAGTACCTGAGCACATGTGGGCACTGGGGCCACTTACTTTTGCATCTATGAGTCCTCCTCTAGGATGATAACCTATCTCCTGGACAGGGCATCTGGAAGGTTGGGAGATGTATTAGCTGGACATCTTAAGCTAAATAAAAAACCATGTATGATCATAATATGTCTGGGAAAAGAGTGGCAATCAGTTTTTACCTCCTGGAAGGCTCTAAAACCCTGATAAGTTTTATGTATGTGATTATTGAACATGTTGCTCACAGACTAAACAATTTGACAAGTGATGTCCTATCATCTGTGAGTACATGGTAATCTAAGAACAGAGAATAAGATGTATCTGTTAGAAAAAAAAAACAAAAAATGAAGTAAGATACAGTCTAACTTCTAGGAGGACTTTTAGTCCTGAGTTTTATTTTAAAATCAGAGTCTTTATAAGAGATATCATCTTTTCCTAATCTCTGCCTCTTACTCCAATTCCCTTTTATTTTTGCCACATTATGCCTCTTTTGACAAATAAAATTCCATAATGAAAAAGACAGGTCACATATCCTTTTAGATAGTGATATAAGCTTCAGGAAAAAGTTACATCAAAAGTAGAACAATTACGAAAAAGAGAAAGAGAATTAGTCTTAGAGAAGTATCTTCAGAAAAAAGTAACTACAGAGTGGCTCTGGGATCTAAAAGGATATAGTCAGTACAGCTTCCTCTCATGGTCTCTGCTGATGCAAAACTGCAGTTTCAAAATGCAAAAGACTGTAGTTTTTCTTTCCCTTTGTGACCAGGAGAGCACAAGGATAGTCCTTTGCATTTGAACTTTCTCCTTCTTTCAGTTGACCAGCATCACAAAAACCAAAAAATTTAAGATCCTTGACAGATGAAAGCCTGGAGGGAAAGGACAAGGACAAAAACAGCAGTGAAGTTCCCACAAGGGAGAGCATAAAGGGAACAAATGTCTCACTGAGCATAAAAATATATAGTGATTATAGTGTTTAGTCTTATCAATCAGTTTTCTCAGTCAATTTTGCTTATGTATGTAAAGCTCTGTCAGCTTGAGTACTAACTAAAACTTAATTGGCAGAGTAGCAAAAGGGTAACTTTAACAATTTCCCATTGTTCCATGAATAAATCTTCACATAATAATTTATGAAATTATTTCCATTTGAGCTAGATGTGATGACCCATATGTAGTCATCCAGAAATGATGACCCATATCTAGTAATCCAAGCTACGTGGGATGTTAAGGCAGGATCTTTTAAAAATCTGTAGCTAGCCTTGTCTACTTAGTGAAATCCCATTATATATATATA